TTTCGGGCCTAGACCCTTCATCAGAAAAGCCTTTTCTGATGAAGGGTCTAGGCCCGAAACGTCAGCCTCTCTGCTCCTATGATGCTGCTTGGCCTGCTGTGTTCATCCAGCCCTGCACCTTGTTGTCAAGGAGAAAACAGACCTGGGTATACATGTGAATTAGTCAATGAAGTTGGCAGGACCACAATTAATGAAAAATGCACTATCCTAGGCCTTATTAACAGGGACAAATAGTACGAGATTAAGGAAATTATGTCAAGTTTGAATAAGGCACTGATTTGGCCTCAGCTAGAGTTTTGTATCCAGTTCTGGACACCGTACTTTAGGCAATATGCGAAGGCATTATAGACAGTGCAGAAACAATTTACAAAGAATTTCAGAAGTTCTTCCCAAGACTGCAAGAAACCACAGAGAATCGTGCAAACAGCCCAGTCCATCATGCAAACCAGCCTGTCATCCATCAACTCCATTTATACTTCCCAATCAAATTAGCAACCAACATAATCAAAGACTCCTCCCACCCCGGTTATACTCTCTTCTACCCTCTTCCGTCAGGCAGAAGATATAAAAGTTTGAATACATGTACAAACAGATTCCAGAACAGCTTCTTCCCTGCTGTTATCAGGCTTTTGAACAGACCTCTCAAATGTTACTCCTAATCTCTGTCTCTGTATCTTCTCTGCAGCTGTAAGACTGTATTCCACTCTCTGTTCTGTTACCTGATGCATTTTGTATGGAACAATCTTCCTGTAGAGTACACAAAACAATACTTTGCATTGTGTCTCAGTCCATGTGACAACAAGAAATCAAATCAAATCAAATAAATTGGAATTTCAGTTACAAAGGTAGATTGGAAAAGTAAGGACATTCTTCTTTGGAGAAAGTTGAGAGGAGATTTGATAGAGGTACTCAAAATCATGAAGGCTCTTGACAGAGCTGGACAGAATTATCATGGACAAGAAACGAAACCAGAACAAGTATATAAATACAAAAATAGAAAGTGCTAGAGAAACTCAGCAGGTCTGGTAGCATTTGCTGAAAGAAAAATTAATGTTTCAAGTCTAGTGACCCTTTGTCAGGACTGAATGCAACTGGGTAAGGGTGATATTTATGCTGATGACCAGGGCGTGAAGTTGGTGGAGAGGACAAGACAGAAGGAGAGAATAGAATACATGGAAACTAGACCCAGAGAGAGAGACAGATAGATGAGAGACAAACAAAGGGATTGCTGATGATAAGCCAGGAGAGAGATAATGGTGAATAGAGTGCCAAGTCAGAAGTGTAACAGAATACTCTCCATTTGCTTGGATTTGTGCAGCTAGTTCCAACAGCTCTCAAGAAGCTTGATATTATCTAGGACACACAACTCACTTGTTTAGTGCCCTATCCACCACCTTAGTCACTCCATCCACCTCCAGGGGCATAATGCCAGCAGTGTTTACCATCCACAAAATGCATTGCAGCAACTCATTCAGGCTTTTCTGTGTACCTAAAACTTCTACCAGCTGCAAAGATAAGGACATTAGATATATAGAAAATATCACCATCTGCTAATCCCACTCCCAGCCTTGCCAGTGATGCTTACACTCCATACCCTGTGCTATTTGCTCCTGCCTGTGGTGACCCCTCCCAGGAAAATTGTTGTCAAGGTGTTGCACATCCCATAATTGAATAGAAAACAAAGTCTTTGGGGGTTATTAACAGTGAAGTATATGGACATGGCATGTCTGTCCACCAATCACCTGCAGCACAGTTCCCATAGCACAACACAGTGTCAGCTCATCTAGGTAATGTAGGAGATGGAGAAAAAAAGGGAGCCTAAGGGTTTCTTAGTGTGTCTGAAGTAACACATTTTTCTGCCCATTCTCAAAAGCAACAAACAAATTCTTCCTGGCCCTGAATCTGCTGGCTGGGTCCCAGGTTAAAACTACAGTCAGACTCTATGTTGTCATCAGAGCTTAATCTGCTTACTTAAAGACAGAACCCTTTGATTTCAAACATGGGTTTGCTTGCTTCCTCAATAGAGCAAATTAAAATCACAACCCACAGAAAGAAACTGGGATGCCAAGCGGGTTAAGTCACTACAGCAATTTTAACCAGCCATCTGCTCTTGCTTCATATGGGAGCTGTTGCAAATGTTTTCCAACATACTTTGTCAATTAAATTGAAAAGAAAGTCATACTTTCATCAGGGTATGCATTTCTTTAATGTGTCAGATTTGTCTGTAGAAATACATAGAACATTTTGGAATAATATAAATCATATTTACCTGGCTTATGTCACTGGTCCATGCAGCTTTTTCCTGTCTGGATGGAGCTAGCAGTACAACTGTGAATGGTGGGGCATCGGCAGATTCAACCACAATCTTGAAATCTAGATGCCCAAAGACCTGACCAGAGCCTTTTGCTATAAGGTATAAATGAAATGTAATGCATGAAATATTATTTATTGCATACAGATGCAGCTTAACTTTCTATGCATCTAAATAATGTATCTGCCAAAAACATATTAAAAGTATAAACATTAACAGCTAATCACTTCCTTTATTTTACCCTTCCCTCCTCAACCACCCCCACAACTCCCCCACCACCCCCCCACATTAATTGGAAGAAATTTTGTTGACAACAGTCACGGTTTTTATTTATAGGTCTCAATTGGTTGTCTCCAGAAATGCATCTAATTAGCTCTTTACTATTTACAGATCTCACCAACTCTTCCCATTAATCAATCCTGTCCAATTTCCTCTAAGATTTTATGGCTGAAATCATTGGTGTGGTACTGAGCCTAGGTGGGAGCTTTTGAGAATGGCTCCATCTCCACAAGTTCCACCCGCTTCTGATGGCACAACAGCATTGTGGAATTTTTCCCCTGATTGCCTGGACTAGTAATTGGTTATGATATTCTGGGAAGACAATGAGCACTCTCCATCAATAAAAACAAATTCTAAAGGCAAATTTCTCAGCGTGTTAATTTGGAGCACGGTGATGAAGATTCTGCGTGCAGTGGACACCCAACTAATATATTTTGTTAAAAACGTTCAATTGCAATCAGCTTATTGATTTAACCAGGTAAAATTCTTCTAAAATACAGAATGCATTCCACTATTGTAAAAAGCAAATTGAGGAATCATTACAAGCTCAGTATCTACAGCATATCATTAGGATTCATTGTGTACTCACACTCATCTTCACTTGAATCAGGTTCTTCTATTAGGGTGCAGTCTATCAGGGAAATCACACCTCCAGTCTGAAGCAAAGAGGAAAATACTTAAAGATGAAATCTTTTTACAGAGACCCCATTTTGATTGTTTCTGATTTTTTCTAAGTTTAATTTTATAGATTCATGGCACCTATTTATCTCATTTGGTAACAAGGCGGAAGTAAAGGAGAGTGTTTAAAAATGGGCTCATTCTGGTTTTCCATGGCTTTACAGACCATGCTTTTGATGAATCAAGATAAAGAATCTGGTTGAGGCACAACAGTAAATGCCATATTTTCCATTCTGGATTTAGCCTTGACTGTATTTGTGATGCAAACTTCCAACTGTGTTGCTGGCTATCAGATCTGTGAGAATGCTGCATAGCAGCAAAGTGCACCATGTTTTTACCTCTCATACCGCACTCAGATATAACACTATATTAAAATTATAGTGAAAACAGATATAATACTAGATAAAGTCACCTTAGTCTCAGAGGACCTCGTTAGACGAGGCAAGTCTTTCATGTTAACCTCCACCATTGTGGGAATTGAACCCGTGCTGTTTACATCACCCTGCATCGCAAACCAACCCCATAACATTATAGAATCTTCTCAAGGGCAACTAGGGACAAGTGCTCAGTCAGGGACACCCACATGCCATGAGTCAATTAAAGAATGAAGTGACACTTCGCATACCACACAGTCATTATGAGAATTGACAAGCATGGAAACTGATTAAACAAACTAAAACTAAGAAATTGGTAAGAAACTCAGATCTGGCAGCTTCTGTGAAGAGAAAACAGAGTTAATGCTTCGAGTCCAGTGAAATATTCTTTAGAACCTGATTATGTGGCTTAATTCACGTCAAAGCATTTCCCATGGCAATGATGCTATGTGCTGAAGATCGTCCAATTAGATCACCGGTTTGCATTTTTCACTGAAATTGTCAGTTTTTTTTTAAATAAAAAGCCTAGTGGCTATGGCAACAGCAATAAAAGGGTCTTTTAAAGTTTTCCCAATGATCTGCCAATAACCTTCTCAAGGGCATTTAGGGATAAGCAATAAATAATGGTCCAGCCACCAACACCCACATCCACTGAATGAATTAAAAAAACTATTTGATATTCAAGCAAGTAATTTATTTTAATTAAATGCCGATTTTCTATGGACTGAAGGGAGGTATAAATAGTCATGACATTTATCCTGAATGAAAAGTCCTGAAAGAAGAAGAATGTACCTGGAGATGATGCTCTGTGTAATGGGGATGAGAAGTATTGCCCTAGATGCCACTAGAGGGAACTTTCCTTGAAAATAGGTCATTTAAAGGGGAGGCAATGGCCTAGTAGCATTATCGCTGGACTATTAATCCAGAGACACAGGTAATGTTCAAATCCTGCCATGACTGGGTTGCATGATTGAAATTAAATTCATTTTTTTAAAAATCTGGAATTAAGAGTCTAATGCTAACCATGACTCTACTGTGAATTGTTGGGAACAATCCATCTAATTCAGGAAGGATACTGCCATCCTTACTTTGTCTGGCCTAGTTGTGACTCCAGAACCACAGCAATGTGGTTGACTCTTAACTGCTCTCTGGGCAATTAGGGATGGCCAATAAATGCTGGCCTAACCAATGACGCCCACATGAGTGAATAAAAAAAAATGTACCTGGTAGGAGCTAACTGTCAGGGTGACTGTTTCTGGCAAAACTCAGTGAGCCTGGCTATAAATGTGGAATAAGTTCAGAGACTTGAGGAAAAATCCAGGTCAATACTACCCCGAAAATTCCTATACCACATATATGACCCTCTGAATCCCATTCCTTCAATTGTACTGTCATTTGGGTGGATATATGATCATTTAGAAGAAAGGCACATATACAGGATCCAATTTCTGTCCGAGATTTATCTAAAACTTTAATGGAAATTCTGCTCATCCATTGCAGCTACATGACGCAATTCATCCGTAGGATGCACTTCCCAAACTGCAGCAGTGAGCTGATCTTCGGCCACAATGTCATGGAGTGAAATTCAGAGTCAAAAGGAATTAAATCACTGATCAAGGAATGGTCTTCACCCTTTTCTTACTTGAAGCACTCTGCTAGGCACTGTGCCCACCTGTATCAACTTTTAACTAGGCTTTTAAATGCAGGCATAATACTTGTACCCAAACTAAGCATTTCTTATCTAGTAATGCAAATTGGATCCAAGCGCCCCCTCCACCCCACCCCCCACACACACACAATTTCAACTTTTAAGCAGAAAAGGGTGGAAAATGCATGGCAGTCCTATTACCTTTGGAATAAACAAACTTGACCAAAAATTCTTAAGGAGTTTGATAGATGCATCTCCAAAGAGATGTTGCCTTTCTTTAAAAAAAGAACTTAAACCTTTTGCCAAAAGATTACTTTTCTGTTCTGCCTCTGGCCTGTTTCTGTTGACCCCACCTGACCAGCTTTACTTGCTGCATTTACATCTTACAGATTTTGCACCATGGCATTTATTTTGTCAGTTTTAATGTAACCAAAAGCTGAAAGGTTGATCGACAAAGGGTGGTAGTGGACGGAAAATATTCAACATGGTGCTCAGTTACGAGTGGTGTACCACAAGGATCTGTTCTGGGTCCTCTTTGATTTGTGATTTTTGTAAATGATTTGGATGTGGAAGGGTGGATTAGTAAGTTCACGGACGATATGAAGGTGGGTCAAGTTGTGGATAGTGTGGAGGGCTGTTCTAGGTTACAAAGAGACATTGATAGGATGCAGAGCTGGGCTGAGAAGTGGCAGATGGAGTTTAACCCTGAAAAGTGTGAGGTGATTCATTTTGGAAGGACAAACTTGAAAGCAGAATACAGGGTTAACGGAAAGATTCTTGGCAGTGTGGAGGAGCACAGAAATCTTGGGATTCATGTCCACAGTTCCCTGAAAGCTGCCACCCAGGTGGATAGAGTTGTTAAGAAGGCGTATGGTGTGTTAGCTTTCATTAATAGAGGGATTGAGTTCAAGAGCCATGAAGTTATGCTCCAGCTATACAAAACCCTGGTTCGGCCACATCTGGAGTATTGTGTCCAGTTCTGGTCGCCTCATTACAGGAAAGATGTGGAAGCTTTAGAGAGGGTGCAGAGGAGATTTACCAGGATGTTGCCTGGAATGGAGGGAAGGTCTTACGAGGAAAGATTGAGAGAGCTAAGGCTTTTCTCTTTAGAATGACGAAGAATGAGAGGTGACTTGATAGAGGTGTACAAAATGATCAGAGGTATAGATAGAGTAGACAGCCAGAGACTTTTTCCTAGGATGGAGGTAGCTATTATGAGGGGGCATAGTTTTAAAGTGAGTGGAGGTAGATGTAGGGGAGACGTCAGAGGTAGATTCTTTACTCAGAGAGTGGTAGGGGCATTGGAATGCATTTCCGGAGAGGGTAGTGGAGTCGGCCTCATTAAGGGCATTTCAGCGGCTATTAGATAGGCATATGGATGAAAGTATAAGGTAGGGGTGGAGGTTAGATAGACCTTAGGTTTAGGGTAAAAGTTTGGCACAACATCATGGGCCGAAGGGCCTGTACTGTGTGATACTGTTCTATGTTCTATGTTCTATGAAACTCCTGACTGCCCCATTGTGATACAAAATTTCCCTCCACACATGTAAGTGACTGATTTTGTAGATCTCTGAGTAGAAAACGATGTAGAAGTCCAGATACTGGCTATGAAGGAGTTGGAGGTATAACAGTTGAGAAAGGATATAGTTTTGACTGCCACTGGCTGTGTTGTTATTGCCAGGGTAGAGATTGGCCTCCATGGGGACCACTTAATGATCCACCCTCAAAGGGTTTGCAGATGGAAGGGCTTGGTAAATTACTTGGGCAGCTTTCCCACCATCCTCCAAACGGCTCCCAATTGCCCTTAATTAACAGGGGAAAAACAAAGCCTGGGACGGCACTGACACCTTTACCCAAGTTGAGATTCTTCAGTGGCCAATCAATTCCCATTAAAGGGCCACTTCTCATCTAACGTGAATAGTGAGGGTCTGGAGAGGGGAAGATTCAAGATGGCGGCAGAGCAGCAGGGTGCTTGCGGGCTCTTCCGCTCCTGCATGCTTTTGTTTTTTTTTTCTTTTTACTTCTGTGCTTTTTCTTTCATTTTTTTTCTTTCAGTTTTTCTTTTCTTTGGAGCCTTTTGCAGCAGGTTAGTTGGCGACATCAGCAGGGCAGCTAGAGAGAGCCATGCACAGAATGGCAGCTGCCCCCCCACACACCCCCTCCCACCCCCAGTGGTTAGAGGCGGTGGTGGACACGGTGGCAGCAGGGGTTGGCAGTGGCAATGGGAGCCAGCAGCAGAGTTTTCAAGCTGGTGGCACCGGCAAGGTGACATCTTGGAGGAGGACAGCAGGAACGGGACACTTGGCGAGACGGCAGTGGTGGCCTGGTCTGGCAGCGGCACCGGGGATTCCTGGTTGCAGTAGGCGCAGAGTGGGGTCTCCTGGCTGCTGGCCGAGTGTGGGTTCAGCACAGGACCCGGTATCGACATCGCCGGTGGTGATGTTGGCGAAGTGGACCCATCCGTGAACAGAAGGTGCCTAAAGAGTGGTGACTCAAATGTTGGTGAATCTGGTGCAGGTGTCTTGGGTGAGCCAGCTCAGGAATCAGGGCTGTCTTTCAGTTATATCTTTTTATCCTTAGACTATTCAAAATGGCGCCAGATCGTGGCAACTGTTGAAGCTTTTCACTGTATTTTACTGTATTATTCACTGTAAAATGCAAGAGACGATAAATAAATCAATCATCATAATCAGCAAGGTGTGCTGCTCAGAGCTTGGATGGGAGAGGGGAGAGGGAGGAAGGAGGATGGGGGAAGAGGAGGAGGAGGATGAAAAGGGAGGGATGTCCTTCTCATCACCCATGACAACCAGCATTGGCGAAGACCAAGCCCCACATCATTACAGGGTTAACACAGCTCCGCAGTGGGTCCGTTTAGGCATCACCAATTAGGTCAACCGGGATTTGCAAATACATTTGGTGAGATTATGGTGAGTGCAATCTTCCTTTCCTGGCATTCTTTGACATTATTTGTCCATATAACATTGCCTGCAGCCAAAAATACCCTTTGAAAAAATAGGTTTGTGGTTTTTAAGGGTAGAGGTGCCCTCAGAGGCAATGATGAAATTAAAAACTAAGGCTTATCAAAACAAATGAGGCCGCTTGGATTAGATTAAACACCTCCTGAGAATTACTTTGAACAACATATAGAGTTGGTATGGTACACACTGATAAGTTTGTTCTCAATCTCCAAAATAGAGAAATGTTCGATTTAAGTAGAGAATACAGTTTTAATGTTGTTTGAAATAAACATATCTCTAATTGTTCCCCCTATTTAGATCAAGAAAAACATTAAATGAGAAATTGAAAAGTGTTTCACTAGCTAGGTATGTGTTTGTACAGCCCAATTTTTTCTCCAAGCTTTTTAAATATTAATTTATGCCCAGTCTGTATGCTTGAGGGACATTACTGGATGCATTAAGAGTTAATGAGAAGTGAAGGTCACCTTCAAGAGATGCAGTTTTCCTCCCGAACTTCTTGTGCAGATTAAGAAATGTTTTGTGAACAAGAAACACTGTCTCTCTCCTTCTTTCTTCAAAGAAAGGGAACCTAAACGAACCTTGGCAAGCTTTCCTCTCTCCACTGAAGGGAGCTGTATGAGGGAACCTGAAATGTCAAAAGAATTCAGATCAGTTGCTATACTGGGGAAGAATATTGAAAAGGACGAGTGTATTGAATTTATTACTTGTGCAGATCAGTGTTCAAATGAGAAAACAAAGTCAAGGGAAAAGAAAATAATGCAACTGTTTGATTTGTTAAAATGATCCAATGACCAGTTAATATTAGATGTTAAACAATCTTGTGTTGGGTTAGCTGTATTCAGGATGACACATCAAGTCAATTCACCATAGTCTTACCAGACCATAGGGCTGCTCTTACATTAGAAAGAGTCTACTGGTAGTGATTTAACCTGAGAGCAACCACACCTCAGGCAAGAGGACAGGTTGAGAAGGAGAGTCCTTTCATGGTAACCTCAGCCAGTGTGTGGATTGAACCTATGCTATTGGCTTCACACACCAACTGTCCAGCTAACTGAGTTAAACCAACACGCAGGATGACACATAACTACCACCAGAGGGTAAATTTTGAAGAAAATACTTACCTAATAATGGAGGCAAAAGGAACTGTTTGCTTTGCTCTACTACAGAGCCATAGGCTGTGCCAACTCCTGCTTACCCCCTCTCCTTGTGATCACCTTCCCCTACCACCTCATTACACCACATATTGAACACTACCCTCATCACAGCACCTACCTCAACAATGCTAATCTATTGCCAAGCTGCCTACAAATAGCCAGAATAATTCAGTTGCTCACCATTCTTATTTAAATGAAACCTGAGGCTCACCTAATTGTTCCTTGCACCCAGCTCAAGCTGGTATGCCAGCGTTGATACCATTTGTGGTTTTTGCTAGTCCATATAGTATTTATAACACTATCTATAATGTCATGATATCACAGACTTGCTCATGTAGTCTAGGTTCTGTACTGCTGATTTTACTGTAGCTGACTGACCACACTGACTTCATTATACAGAGAGATGACTGAAGTTAAGGTAGGCACCTTTATACCAAAAACTCACATGTCATGATGTTATGTAACTGTCTTAAAGGTGTCTGATGGTTTGGGATCTGTGCCATAATAACACTAACGAGTTTTTAGCTCACTTAATGCTAAGAATTGGAGACATCAAGGACACCAGTCAATTCTGATTTTTTTAAAATTCATTTGTAGGATGTGGGCATCACAGGCTAGGCCAGCATTTATTGCCCAGAGGGCAGATAAGAGTCAACCACATGTAGACCAGACAAGGATGGTAGATTCCCTCCCAAAGGACATTAGTGAACCAGATGAGTTTTTCCCCAACAATCAACATCAGTTTCATGGTCATCATTAGACTCTTAATTCCACTATCTGCCATTGTGGGATTTGAACCTGGGCCCCCAAGATCATTACTGGGGTCACTGGATTAATAGTCTAGTGATAATACCACTAGGCCACTGCCTCTCTCCTACATTTTGTTTCTTCTTTTTCTTTACTTTTCCATTTGTAAGAGGTTTTTACTACATGCACTTTTTGTAACTCATCTTCCTTCAATTGTACTGGAAGTGCAATTTGTTCAAATCTAAATTCTGGTTGATATCGAACTGTTTCTGAATCAGGACAACATGGAGGCCTTTTAACAAAAACTGTAAACTATCCCTCCCACATACACTTACATTATTCATTCAAATTTGACAAACATCTGACAATGACACTAAAACAAAAATACCAAAAATAAATACTAGACTTAGGAGAGATGTTAATTCCCTTGTTCTTCTGAAAATACTATACTATCACAGTAACCTCAAAGAAACAGCTGTGAAATCTGCTGCGGTTTACTGAAATCCCTGAAGGCTCATCTAAGAAATCCCATACAGAGACAAACCATTTTGGGGATACAAGCTGTGTCGAGTCCCTACCGAGCAATTTCTTACCATTTTCCCTCCTTCTGTAAAGTCACGTACACAACCCTACCTCTACACTCACCTGATGCTAAGTCACTGTGACTGTACTGCTTCCAAAATATGCAGAACTCAGTAATCTCCTGATACTGTTCATTGTCGCATGCCTGCATAATGCTGCAAACTGATATCAATGTCAACCCATTCCCCCAGTAGACCATATGAACAACTACAGAACTGAGTCTGTAAAGCTGCAATGACTGTAATAAGACTAGGATAATAAATGCCATTCTTTCACTGTACAACTTTAAATGTTCTGCTGCAGGAACCACTGGACTGAAGGGTAATCATCTTTGGAGCAGAGTAGTATTCCTCCCTGATCAGTAGCACAAGAAAAACTTTAATGGATAGAGAAAAATAATCCTTACTGTGGGAAGTTGGGAGCAGGTGAAGGTGAATTTTGCTGCTCTCTAAACATTTGCCAACGTAAGTAATCACGCTTTGTTTCATTATATATCTTTTCCATATAAAACAATTTTGCAGCCCTTCACTGTAAGATTGGCAAATAATTCACCTTTAATTAGTGCCCTTTGGCTCACGACCTCTTCACCAATGGAAACAGTTTCTCCTTATCTATTCCTCCCAGACCCCTCATGATTTTAAACTTCTCTATCAAATCTCCTCTTAACCTTCCCTTCTCTGAGGAGAATAGTCCGAGCTCCACCAATTTAACTGGAGTCCGTCATCTCTGAAGCCATCCTCACAAGCGTTTCTATGTCATCACCGAAAAATAAAATATGGAACCAAAAAATGGTACTCTGAAGAAGAATCATATTGGACCCATTGTATTAAATATTAAATCTGTCTTCACAAATACTGCAAGATAGATGAAGTACCCTTACCTTGTCGTACAAATGTCTGACTTGCATCCAACAATATGTCACATCCTTCCACAATTGTTCGTTCTATTGCAAGATTTTTCCTAATATTTTCTGTGTCACTCACTTCATCGTGCATTACCCTGAATAGGGACAACAGTATAGTCAGTAGACAATTTATAGCATTTCATCGCTCTTGCTGTACAGAAAGTTAGTCACAGCGAATTATTGTAATTAACTGTATACATATAGGGAGAATTAATATGAATGAAGGTCACTTAGCTAGGGGTGAGACTTAGTCAAGAGTATGCTTCATTATTATAAAGTATGTGTCTATAATTATTAAGCTCTGGCAGATGTTTCAACGCCATTCTAATAATAAGTGAATAAAGCTTCATAAACTACTTAAGACTAAGGTTTTGGAGTAGATTTGTAGCTTGGGTTGTGGATGTTGAGGTTGGTTGGCTCGCCGAGCTGGTTTGTTGTTCCACAGACGTTTCATTACCATGCTGGGTAACATCCTCAGTGCAGCCTCCGATGAAGCCTCGGTGTGTTTTCCTGCCTGGTTTTTAAACTCTGGAGTCCGTTGAGCTGGATTGCCTCACTTCCAGTTTTCTTTCGTAGTGGAGTGTATATGGGATTGAGTTCTATGTGTTTATTGATGGCTTTCTTCGTAGAGTGCCAGGCTTCTAGGAATTCCTGTGTCTATCTCTGCTTAGCCTGTCCCAGGATTTTGGTGCTGTCTCAGTCGAATTGGTGGTACTCCTTATCCATGTGGATTGAGATGAGTGAGTATTGGTGGTCGTGTCTTTTTGTAGCCAGTTGGTGTTCGTGTGCCCCTGGGACCCCTGTATCCTAGGACAAGCTAAGCAGAGACAGGCACAGGAATTCCTAGAAGCCTGGCACTCTACGAATAAAGCCATTAACAAACACATAGCACTCGACCCCATATACACTCTACTACAAAGGAAACCCGGAAGCGAGGCAATCCAACTCAATGGACCCCAGAGTTTAAAAACCAGGCGGGAAAACACACTGACCCTTCATCGGAGGCTGCACTGATGACGTCACCCAGCATGGTAACGAAACGTCTGCAAAACAACAAACCAGCTCGGCGAGCCAACCAACCTCAATACTTAAGACTAACTTAATGACTTCAGATCAGTTTCATAATCCTAAATTATTTAACAATCACATTCTTGTCTATTCTAGGTGAAACAAATGACTAACTATACCATGCTGCCGGTGCCATGTGCCAATATTATAATTGATAATTTAAATTAAGTTGTGTAAGTAAGAAAGCAAAACGTTCCCTGTTTTAATTTTGTTCTAAGTATACAATATACATTAATGTGATTTATACAATTTTGTTCTAGTTTTTAACACACATGGTCATGAGGGGGTTGAAATTAGTCTTCAGTGGTAACAGAAAATAGAGAAATGATGATTCAACAGAATAGAAAATCGTGCAAGTTGGAAAATGGGCTGCCAATTCATTATCATTCATTTCACACCTCTGTCATGCATCAATTTTATGCCCAGTTTAAAACTGATTTTACATAGCATTCTGAACTATGCGGTATTGTGGCTGACTAGAACACTACAAGCTGTCTGTGATAAATGCACCAATGCTCTGCAGGCTTTCGTAAACTTCCTTTTGTCCATTATTTTAAATAGACAATAACCTATTTTCAAGCATTTGTTCTGATATTGTATTGCAATTTCATTGCAGCCACATACGTAAGTTGTCTTTAACTCTGTGTCACCTTCATTTCTCAGTCTCCATGTGAACATTTTGAGAAATATGCTTCCTTAGTCTCAATACATATATCTTTTGTTTTAATATATTAAGTGAAGCATCTGAATTAATTATTGGAAATTCAAATTACGCACCCTACTATTCACTTATGTATATAATGCAATGTTTCAGTATAAAGGCCCATTAGAGTTCACTTCAATAGCAACTTTGGAATAGCAAACAGTCAATAAATATATATTTATATGCATGGACTATGTGAAAAATTAGAAAATATGGAACCTTTTGGACACTTTTCAGATTGAAAAGGCTTTTTCCAATGTGGTTTCTTTCAAAATAAATAATACGGTGCTCTGTTGTTTACCTACGGTTTACAGAAAGTCAAATGACTTTAAACAAAGGTAATTGAAACTTTTAAGGAGATAAAAGAAGTGTTTATGGCCTTTAATTGCTGGAAATCATGGCTGTGGAAAGAACTATGGGGGCTTGTGTGCTGATAATTTCCTTGTAGCCTTGTCTGTATTTTGAGTTATAGAGCCATACAGCACAGAAACAAGCCATACAGAATAGAAACAGATCTTTCAGCCTGCTATGTCTGTCCTGTTCAACAAACACCAAACTACACTAATCCCATTTATCTGCATTTGCTCCATAGGCTACAATGCCCTACCGTTTTAAGTCTTCATTCAGATGCTTCTTAAATGTTGGGAGAGTACCAACCTCCACCACCCTCTCAGGCAATATGTTTCATTTATCTACCACCATCTGGGTGAACAATCTTTCCTCGGATCTCCTTTAAACCATTTACTCCTCACTTTAAAAAAAAACAGCCTATCCAGTCTCTCCTCATAACTGAGACATTTCCTCCTGGTGAATCTCCTCTGCAGCTTCCCCAGTGCAATCATGACCTTCCGATAGTGTGGTGACCAGGACTGCATACAGTATTCCATCTGTGGCCTAACCAATGTTTTATAAAGTTGTAACAAGACTTCCTTGCTCCAATATTCTACACCTCAACTAATGAAGACAAGCAGCCATATGCCTTCTTCACCACCCTGTCTACCTATGTTGATGCCATCAGGAATCGACGGACTTGTACACCAAGGTCCCATTATCCCCCCTACTCTACCGTATTCCCTGCTCACAATGTGGTCTACTCTAAATTGGGGAAACGAAGCGTAGACTGGGTGACCACTTCACAGAACATCTACGTTCTGCTCGTAAAAAAGACCCTGCACTGCCTGTTGCCTGTCACTTTAACACACCATCCTGTTCCCTGACCAACATCTCTGTCTCTGGCTTGCTGCAGTGTTCTAGTGAAACTCAACGCAAGCTGGAAGAACAGCACCTCATTTTCTGCTTGGGGACCCTGCAGCCCTCCGGCCTCAATATTGAGTTCAATAATTTTAGGGCCTAAACTCTCCCATGTCCCAGCCCCCTACCCCACACACCAGGCCTTGTTACCACCTGTTGTTACTCACTAATAGTCCCTATTAACAACTATTCACCCTCCCAGCCTGATCATTATCAACTCTTTTCTCTCTCTTTCGGCTCTATCCTATCATTTAATCCCCACCCCATCCCCTTCCCTTTTATCTGCATATAAACTGATGTTTTCCCAGCCACCTTCAGTTCTGAGGAAGGGTCACCGACCCGAAACATTAACTCTGTTTTTTTCCTTCACAGATGCTGTCAGACCTGCTGAGCTTTTCCAGTAACTTTGTTTTTGTTCCTGATTTACAGCATCCGCAGTTCTTTCGGTTTTTATTAAGGTCCCACTATTCCTCAGTTCTCCCTAGGGACCCACCAGACATTGTGTATATCCTTCCCTTCTTGGGCCAAAATGCATCACCTTGCACTTATCAGGATTAAATTCCATCTGTCATTGCTCTGCCCAGTTCACCAGCTGATCAATTTCAGACTGTGTCCTGAGACCATCCTCCTCACTACCAACACACCCGATTTTTGCAAACCCAACATCTGCAAACTTATTAATTAAACTTTCTACATTCACATCCATGTTGTTAATAAACGGAACAAACAGTAAGGGTCATAGCACCAATCCCTGTGGTACACTGCAGGTCACAGGCTTCCAAACACAAAACCAATCTTTGCCTCCTATTTACAAGCTAATTTGATTTCTAGGCTCACAGATATAGATGAACAGTAAGGAAGGAAGCCTCAGGAAATACAATTTTTTTTTTCAGTAGAATTTCTTGAGAACCTGATGAAATTGCCAAATATCTGAATTTATGAATGTCTTATAAACTCTAAAAAGCTGAATGATTATCTCTTTCCAAAGCCTACAAGCAGTGGCTACCTTATTTCCATCCTGTCTTTTCCTAAGAATCTAGACAGTGCCAATTCCTGACATAAAAGTCAAAGAGGTACCTGGTGGCATCAGCTTGCCACCTGCTTCTTTCAGACTTTATCCAACTGTATCTACATCACTCCACCACCCTCCATCCACAACAAGTGACTAACAGTAAACCATCATCATTTCTGCTCTAGGACTAATGCACACAATACTGTAGCCTTCAGGACTTTATTTTGCAGTTCAGGGTTATCTATGACTTGCATGCTTCTGCCATGTTATTTTGTGTGCATGCATCTATGCAGGATGCATCTGATAACTTTTTGTTTCAATTCTTAGCACTCACTCACTTTGTGCAGCCAGCCTCTGGAGTTTGCATTGCATTTTAGTGCTTACTGAGAGGCAGTAACTTGTCACAATTCAGAAAACTGAGCAGTCAAGCAGGTAGACATGTTGCTGTACAGCACTGTGCTACAACAAAGAAATTCCTACAGCATGTGCCAGCAGTTAACATGGTAAACAGTATGAGAATACTATGGCTTTGAGAGGTTATTTTGACCTTTTGTTTTGAAAGAGGTTTTAGGGCAGAGGCACCCAGCAGTCTAGTAGAGCCACTATAGTAAAGAGCTTGTGAGGCCTTTGATTTTTTTCTAAAGTTGGAACAATAGAAGCAGCCTGAAGGGGTGTGGTCAGGCTCCCACAGAACCAGGATTTTCAGTTTAGGTTTTTTAGCTTTTCAGTAGCAGCAGGTGCTCAGGTGAGGCCATGGCCTAGTGGTATTCTTGCTGGACTGTTAATCCAGAGACCCAGGTAATGTTCTGGGAACCTGGGTTCAAATCCTCCCATGGCAGATGGTGGAATTTGAATTCAATAAAAAAAATCTGGAATTAAGAGTCTAATGATGACCATGAATCCATTGCTGAATGTCAGAAAAACCCATCTCATTCACTAATGCTTTTTAGGGAAGGAAACTGCCATCCTTACCTGGTCTGGCCTCCAGACCCAAGGCAATGTGGTTGACTCTTAACTAAAAATAAGTTACAGACAGGCAATAAACGCTGCCTGGCCAGTGA